GACGGGACCAGGGCACAGCTCTAGCACAGACAGACATGGGTCCATTCAGAGGAGGACCTAGGTTCAGTGCTGGAGAGCCGGATGTTGGGGCCTTCATGTCCCTGTGGCATGAGGATTAGACTGCATATGCTACAGGGAAAAATGGCCTCCATTGACGCAGATCTGAAAAAAAGAACAAAGAAGAGGAAAATGTTGAAGTGTTGGGTTTGGGCTGTCATATGTGAATGTAGAATAAAGCAAAAACCAATTATTAAATATAAGTCTGAGTATCTTAATTATAGGCTGTTTATTACCAGAAACACTGCCTTTTGGATTTATTGCACATGAAAAATGTGCGTACTACAAAACGACTATTTGCTTTCAATTTGGAGAAAAACGTGACATGTTTCCACCTGTGGTTCAAAACCCACCTGAGACAGGTGACATACTCTCAGCAGTGGCTCCTTTGGGCAGACTCCCCTTTAGCCTCATGGCAAAAAGTCATATTCAGGGCTTTTCTGTCCATGAGCCTGCAGTTGGGGTCTGTGAGCATGACGTGGTGCTGTGAAGTCAGTATGGTAGAAGATCATACAATTTTCCCTGCCTAGCAGACTACTCCAAAATGGAGTGGCTTAAAACCACAGAATTTCTCTCTCACTATTCTGTGGGTAGTTTGTGCTCAGTCAGATGGTTCTTCTGCTCCATGTGGTGTAGTTTAGTTCACTTGTGTAGCTGGATTGACTTGTCCAGAACCAGAAAGTCCAAGATGGCATCTCATCTGCCAGTCTCTCCTCACATTGGCTATTTCATTGGCCAACACAAGTCATGTCAAATCTAATCTGGGAGAGAACCACCCAAGAGCATCAACACCAGGAGACATGGTTTATTGAGGGCCATCACTGTTAATGGTCTACCACAGTGGCCCTCAAATTCCGCTATATGCGTAACAGCAGAATTTGACACTGCCTGGGATAGGGTTTGGTCATTGAGATTTTTTTTTTAGAGCTCCCCAGGGACCCTAATATACATACAGCAAAGTTTGAGAAACCCTGATCTACCACAATAAGTATGGTCTTTTCCGAGATATTGCAGAGACTAAATCTGTCTTACATATTAAATATAAATGCCAAGGATGAAATTCAGATGTGACTCCAATTCCTCCACAAAAGGAGAAAAGGTTACAAGTAAATTATGTGTGAAGAGTGTTTACTCTGACATTCCTCCTGGTACTTTGAAATCTTCCTTAAAAGACGTTCTCCCATCCCTTGATAGTGTATTAAAAGTCTAAAACGCCCAGAGCAAGCCTGAAAGGAAATGTTCCATAATGAGAGGTCTCCTCTCCTGGCTGGCTTTTCTTGCCTTATACTTTTTGGCATTTCCTGTTTTTCTTCAGTGAGATGTATAGTTTTGCAATTTTAAAGAGACATATTTTGCTAACTGCCACAAATTGGGCAAAGTATGAGGCTAGGTACAACAGGGTTTCTTACAAGAAAACTGTCAAAAAGCCTCTCTTGGCTGCTTTATGCAAGAATGCTTCTAGCCCAGGACTGACTTAGCAGTCCTCAAATATTCCAGTGTTCTCTGGATTTTCCTGCACTTATATCTTTATCCTAAGCAGAGGTTATATTGCAAAAAGCCATCTTTCAAAACACCAAGTGGAGATAGGAGGGAAGATCAAAAGTCAGAGGCAGGCGGCACAAGTAAATGGTTCTGATACTGTAGGGTTGGGATTCCCCAAACACTGATGGTTCCTTGGCACAGAATACTGGCATTTCTCCACAGCCCAAAAGTTCATAAAAGCAATCAAGATACCAACCGGTTGATTAACCAGGGGTCACAATTTGCATTACCCACCAGTGACCATTAATTATATAAAGAAAACAAGTGTTTTTCGCCCAGGTTCAATGGGGCGTGGTTTTCGGATCATTCCAGGCAATAAACAAGCACACTTGTTGACCGACGAATGTTGACCGTGACAGGTGACAGAAATGACTATTGATAAGGCTTGATTGCCATTCAGAGAGTTTGTTTGCTCTCTTTCTAAGTAACCACCACCTTAGCCCTCCTCATAAAGCATATCACAATTGGTGACGACGTATTTATTTCTTAGACTCCACCAGAATAGCAGTTCCATGGGGCTGAGCCCTAGGTGGGATCCACCATTGGGATCTCTCACCTAACCTGGCTCGCAGGAGGGAGTTTCCAGCTGTCAACACTTCGTCGCCCAACGAGGCAGATAGAGGGTGCCCTGCATCAGCCGGCTCCGCCTGGCCCTGACCCTCTGGGTCTTACTTCCGGGATGCTTTAACTGGGAGCGGAAAATAAGGTCACACCCGGCGTATTGCGCCGGCGCACACTCCACCCCGCGCCTGCGCATTCCTCACAGCTCCTCTTTCGACCGGACATAACGGTCCGCGCGCGGCTCCGCGGCCCGGAAGTGGAGGCGAACCGTCGTGGGGCGTGCCCGGCCTTCCCCAACGCCCGGCAATCCCCGCCGTCGCCGCTGCCGCCTCGGCCCCTGCCGGGGCTTCCCGCAGCCGCCATGTCCGCCAGTGCCGTCTACGTGCTGGACCTGAAGGGCAAGGTACGGAGGGCTCCCCGCCCTCCCCGTTGCCAGGCAACTGGCGGGGACCTCGCCCTTCGGGGGGAACCCCCACCCTGTTGCTAGGCAACCAGCCAATGGGACCCACCTTGGTCCTAAGTAAAGAAGCCGATAGGTCTCGTCCGAGGGTCTACCCTGTTGCTAGGTTACCTGGCAGGGGTCTCCGGTTTTCGAGCCCCACCTCGTTGCTAGGTAATTGGCTGCATGACCTAGCTCTCGCTGTGGGCAGGGGCTTCAGGCCTTCGTGGGGGCCGTGGGGAGGGCGGGCCGCAGTCGGCTTCAGAGCCAGGCCCAGAGCCGAGCAGCCGCACGACCCTTGACCGGAGATGGCAAAGCGTATCGGGGCCAGTGTGCCCTCGAGCCAGTCCCGTCCTCTGGGAGCGCTGCAGCTTCTGTTTATCTGGCTGTTCTGTGTGCCAGTCTGTGTGTGAATTTCTTAACGTTCGTTGTGACATTAAGTTACAAAGATTCGGTGAGGTGGGTGATGGAAGAACCATTTTGCAGAACGGAGAAACTGAGGCACGGAGAGGTTCCATAACCTGCCCATGGTCACACTGATCACAGAGAAGTGGTAGGTTTAGGAGTCGAGCCCAGAATCATTTGTTCATTCAGCTGATAATTTGAGGAGCACCTCCTAGGTGCCATGCAGGGTGCTACCTTGGGTGAGCAAAATCAGAGTCAGGTGTTTCTGGAGCTCACAGTCTGGTGGGGGAGAGGGACACTTATCTCAAAAAGCACAGATAAATGTAAATTGCAGTGGTTTAGCAGTGAGGACATAATAGGGAGAGTCAAATTCTGCTGGGTGTCAGGGAGGGCTTTCCAGAGGGAGTGACAAGTTGGGCTGAGACATGAAAGAGAAGTCGGTCATAACTAGGACCCAGGTGCCTTTACCAGGGCTATCTGAGAAAGCTGCTTAAAGGAGGGCTCTTGAAGCCTTTCAGAAGTGGGCTGCTGCCTTCCCCCAGTCCATCCTGCTGGGTAGAAGGCAAGTGAGTATCTGGCCTCTTACATCTGGGAACAACAAGAACAGGTCCAACAACATTAAACTTTAAGTCCCACATAGGTCAGTGAGAGAACTGTGGGTGTTGGGCCTAGGTAGGGTGGGTATTAGTTAGCTTACAAGCAGGGGGAGTGAAAATGAAGCGGCTGCCCCTTTCTGCCCCACTCCCCACCTCCAGCACTTTCCCAGAGTCCTTTGAGTAGGTTGCCTACCTTGAATGCCACCCAGAGTCAACCAGTGAGTCCCAGTGTTGAGCTTCTTTCCTGGCCTTCTTAGAGGCAAGGAAAGACACAGGGCATGCCAGGAGCTAGGTGGATAGTGTTTTCTGAGTCCTGGTAGCACATGTTCTTACTTCCACCCTGGCCACTGTGTCCCCAGAGGTCCCACAGGCTGCCTGTCACAGCTCATGTGTTCCTTCAAATATTTCAGCAGCACCTAGCATACACCAGGCCCTGTGCTGACCATCTCACTGTGACTCTGGAGTTAAGGCTGAGGTCCAAACTCATCTCTGTCACTCAGGGGTGTGACCTTGGGCTAATGCTTTCACTATTCAGAGTCCACAGTCCATGTTAGCCTTCATAGGCCTAGAGGTCTGGCAGGGGAGACACATGGATCCATATGATCAGATCCAGTTAGCCACAAGGGCATGCACAAGGCCCCAGGTAATGTGATTACCTAACCTCAGTTTTGGCTGGAGATGTGGTTACAAAATGTTTCCTGGAAGAGCTGGAAAGGTGACCAGGTGGCAGTTAGGCAGACAAGGAGGCATTGCAATGGGGCCAGGGGATGAGAAACACCCAAAGTCCTAGAGGATGGCACCAGGAGGGCTGTGGGTGTTGAAGATCTTCAGACAGGAGAGAAGGCCAGAGGGGACCACTTTGATCCCAGGAAGTAGAAGCCACCACAAGGAGATTGTAGCCTAGGAAAAGCATGGTCAGTTCTGCCTTGTGGGAAGCTCAAGGCCAGCCACCGGCTTCCCTCCCACCCTCAGCAGCCGTCATGTCATTTATCATTCCACTCTCCACAGACCTCCTGTTTCAAAAGTTTGCCTCTTGCACAGACTGCATTTAATCCAAAATAAGGTCATGGCACGTCAAGAGATATATGACCACACGTCCATCTGCTAGCCAGAGCCTCTGATCGCCAAGGAAACCAGCGTGGCCACACAAAGCTGATAGAAATCTCTCCACTACATTTCTCTTTCCTTATCTTTCTTGCTTTTCTCTAGTTTCTGACACCACTACCACTCTCCTCCTCAACAGGCTTCTGCTGGCCTCCAGGTCACTGCACTCTCTGCCTCTTGTTTGTCTCACAGGCTGCCGGCCCCACCTCTCCTGACCTTCCCTTGGATGTTGGCCCCTCAGGCTTAGGCCTAGGCATGCCGCCCATACTGTCCTCTCCTCAGACTGGCTTTGATTCATGTCAGTACACCAGTGACTCAAATTTGTACCACAGTCTAGAGCACTTAATCTGGAAACCCACTGGCCTCCAGGACACAGTGAAGGTCCCACAGCCACTGCAAACTCAGCATCTCCCAAATGAACTCCTACCACCCCCTAGACCTGCTCTCTCTCTCCATCTTAGCGAGTGACACCGCCATCCCTGGGACTGCCATTGTTGAAAACCTGGGCATTATCCTGGCCTTTTTATCACCCCACATTCATTGCACAGACACTTACTGAGCAGCTACCATGGGCCAGGCTCTGTTCTGGACAGTGGGACACAGCTATGAATGAGACGGAAGTGGTCACTGTTCTGTTCTCAGGGAGTGTTAGAGTCTGTAGAAGTGACAGATGATAAACGAGGATACAAATGAATGTATAATGCAGCCATGATGTGGGCAGTGAAGGTGAAGTCAGGTTGGGCATAGATCTCTCAGGGCAAGCAGGAAAGATTTCTCGGAGGAGGTGCTATTTGAATTGAGGCTTGAGAAGTGAGAGGAGCCAGGCCAAGGCATTCTGGGTAGAGGGAATTGCATGTGCAAGGGCCTGAGGCAGGAGCATATGTGGATTGCTCAGAGGCCAGTGAGGGGGCCAGGATGACTGGAGTGGGGTGAGCCGGGGGAGCATGGATAGAGAGGGTTTGGAGGGGTTGGGAAGAGCCAGACGGCCATGGGGACAGACTTGCAGTTCATTCGGTGTGAGGGGAGGCTGGGGTAGACAGCAGTTTCAGGGGAGAGACCTGATCTGACTTCTGTTTACGAAGACCCTTCTTGCTCTTTGTGGGGAAGGAATTTTGGGTCAAGAGCAACAGCAGGGGTAGGAGATTGTCACTTAACGTTACCTACCTCCTCCAGTCTGTCCTTTCTCCTGTCTTTGTCCTCTCCTCTGGGACCCAGCTCCAAGGCTATCCTCACTCCACCTAACCAGTGCTCCTAGGTCCCCGTAAGGGCTATGTCTCCCACCTCATGGCCTCAGCCATGCTTGTCCCTCTGCCTATATCCCACCTATCCCTTCAGGCCTCAGTTTGAAGGACATGTCCTCAAGGAGACCCTTAGTTTCCCCCAAGCAAGTACCTCAGTATAGGGACCTTATCTGTCTTGATCGCCTGTGTCCCCAGGCCCAGCACATTGCCATCATAGAGAGACGTTCGATGTGTGCTTGTTGAGTGAGTGGACCTCTGTGCATCCCTGGTGAGAGAGAGCAGATAAATTGCTCACTGCTCTTTATTTGAGCACTCTGGGGGCCTGGGGACTCCATGCTAGCAGCAGCACCCAAAAGTGGATACCTAGGGAAAAAGGAGGGCCTTAGGAAGCCCAAAAACCTGTTTAGCAAGCAGAAGTGGCCCTGCAGGGAGTGAGAAGTGAGGCTGAAATCCTGACTCAGCTTTGCTTGCTTTGTGACCTCAGGCAGGTGGTACCACCTCTCTGGACATCATTGTCTCTCTCTCTAAAAATAGCAGTCCTATCTCATGGTTGGGGCAATGTATGAGACAGTATATATTCTTGGCAAGGAGTATATGAGAGAATACCTGGCAGCCCCTCAGCCAGGGCCTGGTCCAGGTGCCCATGAGCTTACCCACTGGCTGAGCTTACCCACTGGCTGAGCTTACCCACTGGGTGCTGGGTCCCTAAGAGGCCTGAGCCTCGAGGCAGGAAGAAGGCACAAGGTCACTTGCCCATGGGCTATGAAAGAGAAACTAGGAAAAGAAGGTGGTCTCTCTCCCTAACTTCATTCCTCCTGTCCCCAGCTTGGAATGATAAAAACAGTGATAAATTTTATGAAACTGCAGGTTCCGAGGCAGGTGGTACCCAGGTCGTTCAGCTCATTGATGATCTCAGTGCATTGCTGAGTCTTGCAGCTGGCTGTCCTCCTTGGCCCAGGAGGTAGCTGTAGGTGGCATCTTCAAATAGAGCCTTGCCTAGGCTGGCAAAACCTTAAAGCTTTTTATTTCTTCAGGGAGGTGTAACTTATATGTAACAAACTGGCTAGAGTTTGACTAGCAGACATTGTGTATACCCAGGAAGCCATAAGCACCATTCTGTCACCCCCTAAAGACTCCTCATACCTCTTGTGTCCAGCCCTCTGCCCATCCCATCTCCAGGCAGCTACTGATGTGTTTTTTGTGACCATTTCCTAAGATTTTATAAAATTGGAATCAAGCGGGATGTGCCGTCCATTGTCAGGTTTCTTTCACGTTACCCAGCCATCTGGAAATTCCTTCATGCTGTCATTTGTGTCAGTGGTCGCTTCTCTTCATGGCTGAGGAGTGTCCCATGGTGTGGATAGACGTGGTTTGTGTCTTTGTTCACCTGTTGAAGGACATGAGCACTCTCTCAGCCTGGGTCCATTTAAAATAAAATTGCGCGAGCATTCATGTCCGAGTTGTCACATGGACACGTGGTTTCGTTTCTCTGGAGTGAATACCTAAGAGAGGGATGGCTGGGTCATAAGCTGGTTTAGCTTTGTGAGAACCTGCCAGACTTTACCAGAGTGGTTGTTTCATTCTGCGTTCCCATCAGCAGTGGACGAGCGTTCCGGCTGCTGCGTATCCAAACCCACAGGCTGTGAAAGAGAGAAGGGCTTCTCTTCAGGCCACAGGGGTTCTAGCAAATGCGAAGTCAGCAGTGTTCCCTGAACAGGCACCCTGACACAGGCAGAAGAGCAGGGTGAGTCAGCACAGGAAAGGCTCTGAGAAGGTCTCCAGTGAGAGGCTACAGGTCGTTGCTGAACCTGGTGTCTCCCGAGCATTTCCATTCTGGACTCTTGCCCCACTCCCTTCCTATAGTCCCCCGTGAAGACCCTGCGAGCCCTATGGAAGTTCTCTTGGGAAACACACTCCTTGGAAAATCCTTGGGGGATGGTGATCAGGTGGCCTTTGATGGACAGGGGTGTGATTAGGGTCCTCTGAGGGAGAGAAGCTGGTGGGTCTCAACCTCCACCCCAGGCACTCAAAATGAAAGCGTCTTCCCTCCTTACCACCCCACCCAGGTGCTCATCTGCCGGAACTACCGCGGTGATGTGGACATGTCAGAAGTGGAACACTTCATGCCCATCCTGATGGAGAAGGAGGAGGAGGGGATGCTGTCGCCCATCCTGGCCCATGGCGGGGTCCGCTTTATGTGGATCAAGCACAACAACCTGTATCGTATCCCTTTTCGGGGGAGCTCCTAGGGGACTCCGTGGCATGCACACACATGTGCAACTGAGAGCTGCCAGCTCCTGCCCTGCCTGGCCCAGAGCTGGCTCAGGCACAGTGGGGCCAGAAGGCCCTGCCCTGGCCTCTAGGAGTGCCCTGCTGCCAGAGGAGATGGGCAGAGAACACTTGATGACAAGGGCAATGGGTGTTAGGAGAGGAGGGGGTGTGATGGAGATTTCATCTAGTCTGGGGACCCAGGAAGGCTTCCCCAAGGAGGTGACATCTTGGAGGAGACTTGCAAGAAGGCAAGGTGACTACCAGCCACAGGGGTGGATGGGCTCAAGGAACACTAGGCCTGGGAGAAGGTTCTGGATGGGAAAGCGAGGCTCACTCCGGAAGCTGTGACAGGAGTGGCTGGACCATGGAGGAGGGCACGTGGTGGGAGTGAGGCCCTATCGGTCGGCAGAGCGCACACTGCAGGGTCTCCTAGGAGTCACCTTCAATGTGGTGGGATGTGACTAGCTGGGGTGGGGCTGGGGGAAGCTCTGAGCCCGGACTCTGTGAGGTGGTGGCCCAGGCCTCTGAATGCTCCTTGACTGTGGCTGCCATACAGTGGTCGCCACCTCCAAGAAGAACGCGTGCGTGTCACTGGTGTTCTCCTTCCTCTATAAGGTGGTGCAGGTGAGTCGAGCCACAGGGGCCCCAGAGCAGTGTCGATCACTCTGGCTCTGCTGTGTTTCTCCCTGTACCAGTCACCCAGGGGGCTGCAGGATCCCCAAGGAGTTCTGGGGCCAAAACCCCAGGAAATGGGCTAGGGGAGCTGCAGCTGCCCTGTATGTGGGAGTCTACGGCCTTAGTTGCCCGCCCCACCCTGGTGAGGAGAGGAAAATGGACAGGAGAAGGTGGGGCTCAGGGCAGGGGTGCCCCCTCACCATGGGAGGGACAGGTATGCCCCTCAGCTGGTTGTGGAAGGGTGGAGGATGACCAGCCAAGTCAGGGGTTGGGAAGGTGAGGTAACCAAGAGGAGGGAAGAGCTGAGCTCTGCTCAGAATCCCCTCAGGGGCCCTCAAAGCAGAGGCCCTCCATGGAGAGAGCTAATACATGCCAGGCCTGGGCTGACAGCGAGATGTAAAGGCATAGAAAGCAGCACATGCAAAAGCCCTAGGGCAGGAGTTTTCAGACAGGCCAGTATGCCCAAGACAGAGGGAGCCAGGGACAGAGTGTGGGGCTGAGGTCAGAGCTGGACCACGGGTGGAGGTTGGGGGAGGCACGCAAGGCCTAGTGAGGAGTGTAGATTTCATTCCAAGTCTGAAGAGAGATGATGGAGGGCTTTAGTCAAGAGACTGCCAAGACCTGGTCTAAGTTAAGACATTCTCTGGCTGCCGAGTGGAAAGAATGTGAGGACAGCAGGGAGGCCAGTGAGGAGGTTGCTGCAGCTTCTAGAAAAGAAGAAGCCAGGCCTGTGGGGTTGAAGGAAGTGGAGAATCGGCCCCAGGAGGCCTGGGGTGGACTCAGGAAAGCTTCTTGCCTTTGGCGGTGCCATGTGCAGCTAGCGCAGGAGCACCAGTGCCGACCCTTGCGGAACGGGCTGGTCTGGCGGTGAGGGTGTGGGGGGAGAGCAGCAAGTGGCCCTTCAGTGCGGAGTGGTGGTGCTGTTGCAGCCAGGGCCTGGGAGTGGGGAAGTGAGAAGAAGGCGGGTCTCCCGCCTGGAGTGTCTTACAGTTCCTCTGCTTTGGTGACCTTCCTTTGGTGTTCGTGCTAATGGAAGATTCTCCCTTGAGCCTCTTAATTTCCTGTTGAAATGGGGAAGACGGGTTTTTCTGCACAGCTATACAGACAGGCAGCTCACGGAGGTCGGGGGGTCTGGGAGGACCACTTGTCCTGTCCCCAGTGGCTCTTGCCCCTCACCTGAGTCACTTCTGACTCAGAGGCCAAGGGTGACAGTTATAGTGACAAATAAAGAGAAGCTGGGAAGGGGTTCCAGGCCTGGAGGTGTCTGTCAGGGAGGGGAGGAGAGCAGGCCGCAGGGGATGCGGAGCTTCTGACCAGGCCTCAGGATGCCTGCACTGCCCCAGCCTGGTTCCCATTTCTCAGGCGGCCACATTGCTGCTCTCATTTCCTGAGTCAAAGGCCCAATCCGTAGCACGTCACCAAACCTGGGAAATAGGCGAATGCAGCATGTGGGCTGTTGTCTCCGGCCTTGGAGTGTGAGGGGCAAACGGATTTGAGCAAGTGTTCATCCCTCCCTCATCCTTCCTCTTGCCCATCTGCCTGCTTCCATCACCAACACCACAGGTATTTTCAGAGTACTTCAAGGAGCTGGAGGAGGAGAGCATCCGCGACAACTTTGTCATCATCTATGAGCTGCTGGATGAGCTCATGGACTTCGGCTACCCCCAGACCACAGACAGCAAGATTCTACAGGAGTGAGTGGGCGTGGTAGGGGGTCTGGGGGGCTGGTCCCAGGAATG